AAATATGATAGGCTTCGTATTTAGATTATTTATTTCCTATTAGTATTATTCCCTTTTATTTTATTACCTTAGTTATTTTATTATAGTTGGTAAGTAAATAAATATCTAGCCGAGCTTGTTAGGCAAGATAAGTAGGACTCTATATATTTATCTCATCTCTACCGTAGTCAGGTGGTTGAATTTGAAGAAGATTTCTGATATTTGAGTTTTGTGTTTTATCGAGAGAGTATCTCGTTTTATTATTCCCATTCGTTCACGCTTCCCTACATCAAGTAGCCCACTAGGTTTATAATTAGGCCTATTTTTCTTGTAGTTGGGTGAACCGACTCTGATACCATGAAGAAACAGGGATTGACGGGTGCAGTCTTACGGACATGAAGCGCACCAAAGAAGAGTGAGCTTAGATAGGTCTTAGTGGAGTTCCATCTTAAAACCCAATTGTTGGTAGGATGAGTAGCCCATTAGGTTTATAATTAAGCTTATTTTCCCTGTATAGACAATGTCAGATAACTCACAAGTGTATATTATAACAACGATGACTTATAAGTAGCATATCTAATATTCAAATTGAGTTAATAATACCTTTCCTTTTGTATCCTTTGCAATGTGATTGATCATGCAGATAGTCCATTTAACTACGCGAAGCACAGGATAGATGAGATCGACGAGCATAATTACACGTGCAAATACACTTTCATAGAAGGAGATGCATTGATGGACAAACTAGATCACATCACTTACCAAGTCAAGTTCGAGCCATATGGCTATGGAGGTTGCGTTTGCAAGGTAACAAGCGAATACTATACAAAGGATAACGTGGAGATTAAGGAGGAGGATATCGAGCATGGCAAGGATCGAGCCATCGGCATGTATGAAGTCGTCGAGGCTTATCTTTTAGCACACCCTCATTCATATACTTGAAAATAATAATAATAATAATAATAATAATAATAATAATAATAATAATAATAATAATAATAATAATAATAATAATAATGATAATAATCTTTGGAATACTTAGGGAATATATTGTATTCTATCTTTTTATTTGTGAGTTTGGATTGGTTACATTTAAAAAATAAAATTAAAGTAAGAATGTGTACTAACAGTTATTTAACGACAGTCTATGTGGAAATACAATGAATACATCAGTCTTTTTTATTTTTTTTCCAAACGGTAGACTTTCATTAATAACACACATAATTGCGAAACACATACAACGGCTAAGCAGCCGAAATCAACGGCCAAATAACCGAAGTGAGAGGACATCCCAGGGGGAGCCTAATTAAATACCACAACATATCCACATTATAAAAGAAAACAATAGACCTCCAAGTAGAGGAGAAACAAACTCCCACAAGTAAAAAAACAAAACTCCCAAAAAGGAGAACAAGTGGAGAACAGAACTTAGAGAACAACCTAGACATGGTTACGGGTCACCCGGCCCGCCGATCCGGCCCGGTCCCAGCACGGACCCGGCCTGGTCAAACCCGTTGACCACGAGTCCGGACCCGGCACGGATTTCAAACGGGCCGGTCAAAGGGTCATGTTTTTTTCGACCTTGACCGGCGAGCCGGGCCGGGTCCGTGTCGGCACGGGAAAATATATTGCTTTTGAATTTTTTTTTTTAAAAAGAAAAATTTATGTGGCCGGGTCCAAACCCGGGTCCGATCCGGCCTGGCCCGGCGGGTCATGGACCCGGCACGACCCTAGGTCCGTGCCGGTTCAGGGTCATTGAAACTAGGGCTGAGCATGGGACTCGGAGAATTCCGAACCGTTCCGAAAACCGAACCGAAATCACTCCGAACCGAAAAATATCCGTTGACC